ATAATTTAAATTTGGATATTAGGTGCCAGGTATTTTTATATTCCAGATCTTTTAACTGGGATTAAATTTAACCTTGTCAAAAACTCACACAGACCAGAGATATGAAACATTGAGCTCTATAATGTAATAAGAATTGTAATGCATTCTGCTGTTATATATATATATGTCACACAGCAACTAAGTGGCAGGGCTGGGATTTTAAAACAATACTTCTAGGGGCTGGGGTTATGGCTCAGCAGTAGAGGACTTGCCTCGCACGTGCAAGGCCCTGGGTTCAATCCTCAGCACCACATAAATAAATAAATAAAATAAAGTTATAGTGTCCAACTACAACTACAAAAGATAAATATTTAAAAATAATAATACTTTTATAGACATATTGACAAAAATGCCACCTTACAACTACCTATCAAAACATCTATGTTATTATCAGCAAAGTGGCATTTATGGAAATAAACCACCTGTGACTCTGGCCCAGTATGCCTACAAATACAGAAAGAACAAAACAGTAGCCTAAAGTATGACTATATAAATTCAGTTTAACACAGAGAATAGCAAGAAAATAAGCAAACAGGGAGATGTGCTAGATATAACCAAGCTGCCTCTCTTCTTTACCCATCTGATATCTCTACCATCATATATTAAGAAGGAATGACAGGAGTCAAAGATAAAGAATACATCACTGACATACAATCCAAACAATGAAAACTCTTGGCAGATGTTCTCTAAGTTATAATTCCCCTCCTACGCAAACTAAGCCCCAACCTGAGTCTTCTGGCTTTATCACACTGAGCCTTGACAAGAGCTATCATTAGTGTCCAAACTCCACTTTTTGCAGGTTGATGACATATGTCAGGCCTTTATTCCTGATGCCACTCCTGCCTGCCAACTCAGGAAAGGATTCCATAATGCCTTTGGCTTTTCTAAAATACCTTCAAGTCACAAAGCAGCAGCTGACACCAACTCCCTCCTGAGGATGGACACTTGGCCAGGAGCCCATGCTGCAGATGATTTGGAAGTTCTTGATCTTTATTAAAATCATTCCTATCGTCTCACTGGCATTTAAAATAAATTCCTCCCCAGAGAGTTGTCAGAGGTTCTCAAACCTCTTCCATCCAGTGCTAGTCACCTTTGATTAGAGAAAAGCAGTAGAGTGTGGCAGCAGCTGATAAATAAATGTCAGAGCCTGGAGGATAGTCACAGAGTTTTGATTACTTAACAACTATTTCTCATTTAATACCATGGACAGTTTTTAAGTCAACAAAACTCAGCATTACTTACTGAGTCAAATACTTCAGGAAACAGACACAATCAAAGTCAATAGTCCATTTATCTATTTCAGGATGCATACAGGCTAAGAGGTTTCACCTGTAAAGCAAACTGTTAGGCTATGTACTTTGCAAATGGCCAGAGGGCATTAGGAAACTTCTGTTTAAAAAAAAAAAAAAAAAAACATGCTTTGTCACATCAGAGAGGCAGTGAGGCAATGTTTAATAAGTAAACCCACATACATACAGACTCAAGGATTCCGACTCCGACCCTGCTGTGTGCCCTAGGATCTTCATTCCCCTTCCAAGTTGATTTTTCTCACTTGTTAAATTAAGATCCTTAGAACAGGCTATACTTCCTCCCACTATCACTTTTAATTTTGATGCAAAGTCAGGCTTGGAAACCATTAGATTAAATGACCTTTATTGTTTTAAGTTATAAAACTTAAAAAATGGTACTTAACTTGCCCTTCTTTCAACTCAGAACTTTTTTCCCATCTATGATTAGCATTCTCAAACACCAGGGATGTCCAATTTATGTCAGGTTAGCAATGTTGACATAAATTTAAAAGCAACAAGTCAATATTAGTAACTTGTCTAACATTATTTCATTTCTGGAAAGTATGAAGATCTAAGTACAGCTGACCCAGAGAAAATGCATTAAAAATAAAAGTTTTAAGGCATTATATGTTACAAAGATCCAATTATTTGCTGGAAATTGCCAAGAAAAGCAACATAAGAAAAGCACGTTCCCTAAATGTTATAAAAAAATAAAAACAGTGATGGAATAAATAAGTCAACTTATTCATAACTTATAGTACCTTAAAACAAACCTATAATCTACCTGAGGCAAAATTAAACTTTCTAAGAACAGAGTTTATTTATTTATTTATTTTTTAGTTGTACACAATACCTTTATTTTGTTTATTTTTATGTGGTGTTGAGGATCGAACCCAGGGCCTCCTGCATGTTAGGCGAGTGCTCTACCACTGAGCCACAACCCCAGCCCCCAAGAACAGAGTTTTTAAAGGATAAAATACTATATAATTAAATTAATGGGTCAGAGAAAGAAATACATCATCTTATATCACTGAGGCTTCACAAATGTTTTACTATTGTACAAGGGAAAGACTGAGTCCTTTGATACCCATTCTTGTTTATTTTTTTTATTGTCAAAAAACACATGCCCACTGGCTTAATTTCCATGAATATCAGCTACTGATGACTTTGGTTCTTATTTCTTTGATGGCTTTATATTCCCAATCCATTATACACTCATCTCAGCTGAACAACAATCTCTGGCAGAGTTAGTTAAAAGAGTTATTCGCTGACTACAGATATACTGTGAATTAATTTACCATGGAAAAATGAAGTGCTGCTTCCTGCAAGTTTGTAAAACCTAGAATAGTAATATCTCAAAAACATGAAGTCACAATAACTATAGGATGGAGAACTCAGGGGGCCCTCAGAGTATTTTTAAAGGTTTTTGAAGTATGTATATTGCATTTAGTACCAGGCCATTTTGCCACAAAATTGCTGGCTGCCCACTTTCTTTTACCCTCCAATCTCAAGTATCTGAAGTAAGCTGATGTAAAGCTGTCATGCAAACTGTAAAATCTTCTAAGTTATTCAGTTTAAATTTCTAATCCTACTCTTGATTTATTAAAACATCAAGCAGATTAAATGTAAGAATAACCAATAATTTCACATACAACTATGCTTTTTCAAGCTTTCTTTTCTCCTTCCCAATATTCAAGTGAACACACTGGATTCAGTAGGTTCCTTTGTATTGCCTTGAAACACCACACTCTTAAGGCTAACTTAAAACCAGAATTAACAGTCACAGTGCTGGGACAGACTCAAACCAAATGATTAGTAGGGATGTGGAGGGAGGAAGAAAACTTACTAAGTTTAAATAGTTAAATTCATTCAAATATTTGTGTGACTTCTCATTTGGCAACTTCTTTTAGAGGTTGTAATTGTATAAACACAGAGTTACTAATTAATGGTTGGCATATGTAATTAGTACACAACCTGGTGATGTCTGAACAACTATTTTTCCAGTAACTATCACTGTCTGGTTCCACCAAACAGGGAAGGATGTACTAGGATGACAGAAACAGTAGCACCACCACTAGCAGGTATCTACTCTTAAAAAAGTGGAGATCAGATCTTTCAAGTGTAGCAACAGAATTTCATAGACCAAACAGACAAGGAGGCAATGGATAAGTTCCTGGATTCCATAATTTAATTTGTTTTCAAATTTTTGTGTTTAGGTGCTTGCATTCTGGAAGAAAATCCATAACTTTCCAGAAATCTTTAAATTGTCCAACTAATTTAATCCTTACTATCAACGAGGTAGATACTAACATTCTCATTTTACAGATTGAGGAAAATTAAGCTTCTGAGAAAAGAAAGTGGTAAAGCATTAATTTAACAAATATTTTTAAAACATGCATATGTGTACATAAATATGCTAGTCAGAGATTGTTTTAACCATAAAACAGGGCTTTATGTTAATATATATATTACTAGAAGCCAATTTCTGGATAAAACATGCAATTTTATTTAGTAACATGAATAATCATCATTTTAATAATTTAAGTAATTTTGAAATAACAATACAGCTTGTAACGTGTCATGCACTATTTAAAATACTTGACATATTGACTCATTTAGCTCTCACAACTATCCTATGAGGTATACACTATCATCATCCCTATTTTATAGATAAGGAAACAAAGAAACGGGTTAAGTAATTTACCCAGGGCCACATAGCTAGGAAACTGAAAAGTCATCATTATGGCTCAATGTCTGTGCCCTTAACTATGCTATACTGCTTCTGTAAACATTTAATATATGAAAATTTTAATTATGGTCATTTTATAGAAAAAAAAACCTGAAAGCCAAAGAATCTTCCAATTTGAAAATGTCTATTATGATAAGGTACTTCATTTATTCTATGTTAGCACATATGAACCAAGAGCAATGAGGAGAACCTAGTGATTACATTTGTACTCTTTCACATACATAACCTCATTATTATTTCACAGCTGTGTGTGCAGAAGAGCAAGTGCTATGTGTCCCACATTTTAAAGAGCAGTTCATTAACACTGAGAGGTTAATATCACTACTCACCATTACCTGAACTTTCCTGCCTTTAGGATTTCATGTGCATGTTTTCTCCCTCTATTGGACTATCTTTCCTTTAGTCTAGTAAAATTCAATTAAACCTTGAAAGCCTATCATATCATATGTGACCTACTTACATATACACCTTTCCTATCATTGAGAGGCAGAAATAGTCCTCATTCATTCTCCCTTAAAGTAATTCATACCATTCCATCAGCATATGAGTCAATCTTCTTCTTCATCAGCTTTATCTGTTTAGTTCCCTAGGCAGATACTGGGCTCCATGATGGGAAAGGCAATGTAAAAGAGAAAGGATTCTTAGGATTCTATTGCTGAACTGTTAAAACGAAGCAGCAGAAAACTAGCACAGTTCAGCTAAAAGGAACACAGATTCATGCTGACAGTCTGTTGTCATCTTTACAACTTAAGAATTATCCACTAGCAGCATTACTCTAAATGCTTCCAGTGATGTTCCCTGCTGGTGCTTGGGAAATTTCTAGGCAGATAGACAGCCACCTGAGACAGTGACTCTTCTTCTATTATCTATTAATCACTAAAATATATTGTTTTATTGAGTTTATGCTTCTTGTTTCTTCCAAGTATACCAAGAGACCACAGAAGGACTATGAAAACATTTACATCTCCAAGCTGGAGAAATGTGGGTTTCAATATTTCATGGTATCTCTGGAAAAGAAAAGAGGTAAGTGAAATTATAAAGATATGGTGAGTTCTGACTAACTTAAACCAGTCTAAATTAAGTAAGAACAATTTATTAAATGTTCAGTTTATATAGCCATGTAATCATTAGCTAACTTAATCCTAAACTTTTTTAACCCTTTAGATTTATCCTTGCATTGAGGACATAAATACCTTGGCCATATTCATTTAAAAGACCCCAAAGTGTACTTAAACTTGCTGAATGATAGAAACTAATGTTAAGGGCTTAAAGCAATCTAAACAAATAAGGGATGGTGGTCTCTAGGGTATGAAAGTTATTTGTCTCATACACAATCTGAAATGCTCCTATGTCATTCCAGAAATCTACCTATCTCTCCTCTGTAGTTTATCAAGGCTATGAAAAGCATTCTTTTTAGAATGCCATGAATTTAAGAAATGCTATTTTGTAAGCACTGAATGGTTTTGATGCAGCAGAAATCAGTACTTTTGTTTAAATTTTTTTTTTTAGATGTAGATGGACACAAAACCTTTATTGTGTTTATTTCTATGTGGTACTGAAGATCAAATCCAGTGCCTCACATGTGCTAGGCAAGCACTCTACCAATGAGCTACAACCCCAGCCCAATCAGTATGTTTTTTAAGTCTGAATATTTATCCAAATGCTATAAGGCTTGATATTTCTTCATGCCAAAGGGGAAGATCATTTAAAGTAAATCCATTAAAGATTTTTAAAAATACTACACAGTAATAGTTGCTTAAATTTTTTTGTTCATTTGTATATGGTATACTCTCATAATACTGAAAACAAATGTTGCTAGTGGAGAATTTTGATGGAGGGTAAAAGAATTGATGTAGAACATAAACAGCTTACATCTTAGCCAAATTCTCACTGGTTGATATTTCTTTTGTTCTTTTTTTCTTTCTTTCTTTCCTTTTTTTTTTTGGTACCAGGGATTGAATCCAGGGGCACTTAACCACTTAAGCACATCCCCAGCCCTTTTTTGTATTTTATTTAGAGACAGGGTCTTGGTAAATTGCTTAGGGCCTCGCTAAATTCCTAAGACTGGCTTTGAACTGGAAGTCCTCCTGCCTCAGCCTTGAGAACCACTGGGATTACAGGCATGCACCACCACACCCAGCTCTTTTTTTCTTCTTATTGTGTACAATTTGGTTACTTTAAAAAATAAATTGAAGCTGGGCTCAGTGGCACATGTCTATAATCCCACAGCTCAAGACTGAGGCAGGAGAATGGCAAGTTCAAAGCCAACCTCAGCAGCTTAGCGAGACTTTAAGCAATTTAGTGACCCTGTCTCAAAAAAAATAAAAAAGGGCTGGATATGTGGCTCAGTAGTTAAGCAACCCCTGGTACAGAGAAAGAGAGAG